TTTTAAAGTGGACCTGATAGGAGTTCCATCAACCATGTCACATCAGCAGTTAAATGAGTATAAATAAGATTGTTGCTCATGTGGTTTTAGGTGTCGAGTGTTTTGGTAGTCTGGGGCCCTATTGTTGGCAGGGAAGTTTTTTGGTTCTCGAAAACAAAACCCCAAGTTCCTTTGGCTCTTGGTTATGGTTTATGTGATTTGTTTGTTGGATTACTCTTGGATTCTTGATTCTGTGAGCTGGTTCATTGAGAAATATATTAGATTCTGTGGTCAATCTTAATAGGGCCAGATCTAATTTTAAATGAAGTTGTATTGCTGCTATTCATTGCAAGTAAGTGTTCTTAACTGCTTCTTTTTACGCTGCAAATCTGCAGGTTCGACTCAGAAGCCTGAAGATATGTACAGGATAATAGAACATTTTGCACTTGGTCGGCGGAGGCTTGAGCTTTTTGGTGAAGACCACAACATTCGAGCTGGCTGGCTTACTGTTGGAAAAGGGCTTTCTTCCTCAAATTTCGATTCACAGGTAAAAATCTCATATTCACTCTCCTCTTGCTTCTGTTTGACCAGTTTCTATTAGACCTTTGCAAGGACAAGATGTGTAAGATCCGGTTTGTATTGTTTAGGCTTATGTGAGAAACTTTGCGGACAAGGAGGGTAAAGTGTGGCAAGGAGGAGGAGGCAGGAATCCACCTCCAGATGCACCACATCTCGTTGTGACTACTCCTGATATAGAATCTCTGCGGCCCAAATCGCCAATGAAGAATCAGCAACAACAATCATATCCACCGTCTCAGGCCTCTGCAAATTCATCAAACCGAAGAACCACAGGAAACTCACCACAGGCAAATCCTAATGTAGTTGTTTTACATCAAGAGGCTTCTGGATCTAACTTCTCTGTTCCGCCCCCGCACTGGGTGACAACACCCACCGCAGCACCTCCTCCTCCAATGGATAGCTTTAGAGTTCCTGAAAGTAGCAACAACAACACGAGACCACCGGAAGAAAAGATTTTTGACATGTACGGCTTTAATTCATGAGCCCTTCCCCCAAAAATGCAGAGTTTCAATAGTTGTTTCTATTTGATGGATTTGCATGAGAAACTTTGCTGCCTATGGTTTTGGTTCTCTGTTTGTAATTCTTTATATTCCGCCAATACTTTATATTCATTTCATTATCAATCAAAGCTCAATTTGCTCCATACTGTGTGATGCATCCAAATCAAATCGGATTAAACCCTTTATATTCACAATTTAAAACAAAGTCTGTCTTACTTACATCATTTGTATCACATTATATGCGAAAGAAATTCAGAGCCCCGGAAGCAGCCGTGAGTGCTACAAAAAAATTCGTAGGAACCTCCAGGAGGCCAGAATATACCATGTTCCGACAGAAATCTCTGGTAATCGAGCTCAACTTTGCCGTATGCTTCTGCAGTTTCCCGATTTGCTAAACCGACCAGCACACGTAGTTAGGAAGGAAATCAACAAACAAATATTACTCAGAACATATGTATGTAACTGACTCGGTATTCTGGCGACGGATCCTGTCGATCAGAAGGAAATGGCTTGTTCTTTTGGAGCCATTGGTGATGTTTTTCTTCCACCTGACTTGTTTAAGTTTCTGGAGACTATTCTGTGTATTATATTATATCAAAGTAAATATGTAAACCACACATGAATGAAAAGATTGCTGGTTTTTGGGATTGTAATCACTGATTACTTGGATAGCACAAAAATGACAATAACCACATTTGAAAATGAAATCAAGAGAGGCAAAATAAGTACTGAAAATAAAATATTTCATCTCTTATTAATTCACTTTTGTAAAACCAAATAAACATATTCACATTACACAACATACAAAAAAAATTTTAAAACCCTCCCAAAGAGTTCTTTTGTGACCTTTTTCTAAACAAACTACCCTTTCCAAAACCCTATCTCTCTCTCTTTTTATCTAACAAGAATTTACAGAGACTTATCCAAAACCAAAACATAATAACATAACTTAAACCCTTTTCTTCAACTAAGGATCTTGAAGAAGCAGCGTCTTTTCGGGTAGCCTCAAACCAAGTCGTTTGATTCAGTTGAACAGAGCCACTGAGACTCCAGAAAAATCCTCCTTATCGCAGTTTATCCGTGAAAGGCGGCACCTTTTCTGCAATGGAGCTCCTGGGGCTTCAGTATCATCATCATCATTCTCTACATCAAACGGTTTTTCCAAACTGAATCTGCCGTTGTGGGAAACCGAAGTTTTCCGAGGTGTATTATACGCAAAATAAGACTGCTTTGCGATCAATGTCTGTAATAAAAACAAGGAACAATTAGATCAACATCAACTAATAGTGTATCACCAAATCCACTAATGATGGTAATTTCACTTACAGCTTCTCTTGTTGTCTTTGAAACATGAAACAACTGCTTCAAGTCTTCATGCTCAACCCCACAGATTATCCTCACCTGTAATAATCACAACATCTCATAAGTGTCAGTGAAATAGTCAAACAATCTATCTATGCACAATAAAAAAATATTTCTCCAGACATCGAAAATTTGAACACTTTCACATTTCCAATTAGATTTTAGATCTCAGAGAACAAAAAGGTCTCAACTTTGAGCTCAATTTGATTAATTTTCCGTCAACTAACAATAAATCTCAACTAATTAACAGAACCCAGAAACTAGAAAAGGATAAAAATGAATTTGAGAAGAAATTTGAAAATTTTCTCATTTCCAATAACAATAAATCTCGACTAATTAACAAAACCCATTTAATAAAAGAAGGATTGAATCAGAGTTTGTGAAAAAACTAACCAGAATATCTTGTGGAAGATCTTCAAGCTCTAGACTTTGACCATTTGCAATCGAACTTATATCGCAGAGCTTCTTCGATGAGATTTTTCCGACAGGTGAAGTGAAAATCGAATCTCCAATCTCATCACCTGATGAAATTAGAATCCTTTTTCTCCCAAATCCTTTCTTGTACTGTACAAGCTCTAAACCTAACCCTAATCCTCCGTCATCAATATCACGACGATGCTTCAAATTCGACTTCTGTGTAACGATTCTCTTCTTCCCCAATGCCATTTTCGCCAACTTTATGAAATACCCAAATGTTCTTACTAGTATCTGCATAAGAAAACGTACAAAAAAATCAGATCTTTTAAATCGAAACCGCAAATTAAAAGAATCCAAAAACAGAGGATTTAGAGCAAGAAACAAACCTATAAAGAGTAAAACTGAAGATTTCAGAGATCTAATTGGTACAGTCTTGAAGTTTTATGTTGCGGGAAATGAAACAAGTTGAGAAAAATGAGTGATTTTTCTTTTTCTTTTAGAATTGTGACAAAAAGATATGAGCTTACTTCTCTGTACTTATAGTAG